GCACATCAGGAGAATATCGTCGTCTCATGCTTCTCGGGCACGTACAGAGTATATTTTAAGAAACACCATGAGGAACAGTAGTGGCACTCGGTCTTTCTTAAGCTGGATATTTTCTAATGGGAGGAGATAATTCAAGAAAATCGAGGAGCTCGTGTTTTCTGTAGGAAAGGCACATTTGCTTCTTGAGTTTGTCTTAATTGAGGCAAATCCTCATGCGTTTCCCGCTCTCGTGTCTTGTATTTGGAAGCAAAGGGCGGGACGGGTTTTCTCTGGGAACCGACGCATCCTCCGTGCTCGGATGCCCCCCTATCAGGCACGCCGGTCGGGTGAGCTCCCCGCACAGACGCGCAGGCTGATCCCGCCTCAGCGGCCAGCTCTCGAGCCCGTGGTCCAGCACAAACGGTTCCAGGCCGGATGTTGGCCCCGGCCGTGTTCATTCTCTCGTCTCCCCACCCCATGCCTCCCTCCATTCTCTCGTTCCCTCTCTCTGTGTCTCTGTCTGCATTTATCGTCCTCCCTGCTCCTCCCTCGGGAGTCCTCCCCGCCCAGATCTTTCCCTGCCCTTGGAGAAGCCGTCCCAGCCCCCGCTGACGCACCTGCCAGCACCTTGCGGCCGCCGACAATGCTCTTGTCTGTTCACCCCGCCGGGCCGTGGCCGGGCTCCCGCTCCTTCCTCCCCCGTCTCTGTGTCGGCTTAGCCCACCGTGTGCTGCCCCTGTGGCCACTGCGGGGAGAGAGGACGGACCAGACAGACCGCATCCCTGCCCCGTGATCCCCACGTTCCGGTGACAGGGACCGGGAGACGGCGGGCAGCAGACGGGCAGGCAGGGATGTGCGTGCTATGTCAGATCCGGGGAGACACAAGGTGGGGAAGTGGGGGTGCTGCGGGAGGCTCCCGAGAACAGACATGTGGCTGGGGGAGCCAGAGGAGGTGGGGGAGCAGCGCACACCTGGGCACACCTGTGCGTCTAGGAGCGGCTGCGGGAGGCAGGCGGGAAGGGCCGTGGCGGGGGACAGCGCACTGAGGGCTTTGGCTTTCCCCCGAGTGAGGCCGGAGCCGCCGGAGCCCTGCACACAGGCACGAGGGTCCCGCCCAGCCTCCTCCTGGCAGGACGGCCTGCGGCGGCCCCGTCCTCATCCCGGCCTCCTTTCTGCCTCTCGTGGTCTCCGGCCCACGCTCCCCCTTCCTCTGTGGTCTCTTCTCTGCGGGTTTTCTCGGGGACATCACAGCTGCTGAGCGCCAAGCGCGGAAGTCAGGGCGCGGGACCCGGTCTGGCTTCACGTCACACGCCTTCCACTGAGAACCTCACCACGAGGCGTGGCCTGGGGCGCGGGGGGTGATTCGAAAGCACTCTCTGCTCGGTTTTGAGGCAAGCTGTCGTAATTCCAGATCCCGACGTAATTTCAGTTCTTTTTTTCTTTGTATTTTGAAACATGAAAGCCACCTCCTCTCTGCGTGTTTGTCCCACCTGCCGGCTGGCTCACGTGCTGGGCGTGAGCCGCAGGTGAGAGTCGGCCGTCTGCAGGGCCCCGCCTCAGACTGGGCTCCCAGGGTTTAGCAGAGGAGAGCGGGGTTTGGGGACCGTTGGAGGGACACAGTTTAGAGCTTTTCATGCCGGAGGGTGGCTCTGTCACCAGACCACAGAGTCCCACATTGCCGATGGACAGAAAACTTGAGTTTCTTGATGTTGCGCTAACACCCCGTTTCCCGGAGGCTTCTGGACAAGCGGGTCTCTCCGACCCCGCTGTGTCTCAGGTGGCTGTGACCTGTGCTGATGTCCCGCAGGAGTCTGCCCTCCTGCCAGGTGTCCCTCGGCTGTGCTTGGCTGTATCTAAAGAGGGAAGCGGCAGGTCTGGAGATTGGGGTGGCGGCTCCGTAGGACAGAGAATGGGCCCTATAATCTGGAAATAAGGACGTGCACACATCAGCACCACGTGGGGGCATCCGTGCATCCCGTGGCCAGGACTTGTCCACTGAGGGGACGGAGCCCACTCAAGCCACTGTAGGCCAAAGGGGCCTCCGTCGGCTCTTGGGCCCAGGAGGCCTGGAGGGGTGAGGTTCAGGGTGTGCGTGTTTCAGCATCTGTGGGGCTGTTCGCGGATGACTCGATCCCGCGTTGGAAGAAGGGTGTGTGTGGTCCCAGAAGCAGCCTGGGCTGGATGGGGTGTCCCAAGGGCATGAATGCGGCATCTGTGGGTGTCTTCTGTGCTCCAGGGCACTGCCCCCCTCAGTCAGGGCCCCGGGACTGGGCAGAGTGAGTTAGCCAGACAGCCCCACCGGCAGACGGCGCTGGTCAGGGGTGGGGACAGAGCAGCAAAGCCCCAGGGAGCCCCTACCCCCCAGGGTCATACCCGGCCTAGGCTTTTGCCCCCGGCACGGGGGTGGCCCAGCTCATCAGCCCGTCCCCCTAGTCCTTGACTAGGGCCTAAAATTCCTAAACAAGGAATAGTAACAGACTGTCGTTAGATATTATATTTCTCTCTTCTCTTCCTGTGTCCCCAGAAGGAGCAAGTTCACCTTGCTGAACAGCAGGCAATAAACGAGCAGTTGATTAATCCCCTTTGCTTCTCTCCAAATGGAAAAATCATTATGGTGCTTTGAGGGAGTCTCGGACCCTGTGGGAGATGTTCCCGGGGGCCGCGTAACACCCCCCGTCGGACGAGCTTCAGTGAAGTGCGTCGTGGAGAACGAGGCCATGGAGGTGCGGTCAGCCCCTGCGCGGAGGCCTCCACCTCTGTCCACACGGCGCTCGGCGGTCGCTTGGCTGCGGGACGCAGGGGGACGTCCAGGGTGTCGCTTCCCCCAGCCTCGATGAAGGCCGCATGGGTGGGGCACCCCCACGTCCTGCCCCAGCCCCAGGACAACCGAGATGGCGTTTATCTCCTGCCCGGGCACCTGGGGGGCTAAGGGGCTGCCGGCGCCGCCCGCGTTTCTCCAGGCAGTATGGCCCGTGCGCGGGTGACTGAGCCCCTGTCCCCGGCAATGCCGCCCTCCCACGTGTTGGACACACGCCTGCTGCAGACGGTGCTCTGGGAACTCCGGAGTCTCCTCTTTTTGGAGACTTGCGGAGAGCCTCGGTTGCACTCAGGTTGTGAACTCCAAACAGTACGGAGGCAGTCGGCCCTTCCCGCCCCAGAGGCCGAGCCGGGGAGGGAACTTCTGGCGACGGAGGGGAGGCGCCCCCGTCTTTGGGGGAGATCTTGGCTGCAGACCCGAGTGCTCACCATCTGCCCCCCACCCTAGGACCGCAGTCGTGCTTGGCTTGCGGCCGCGGGCCAGCTCTGACGTTTCCTTTGAGGAGCGATTTCGAGCTGCAGTCAGTGTCTGGCTCCCAGAGCCCACCCGGCCTCTGCTCTGCCCTGGGGGCGGCTCCCTCCCCACCCAGGAGGGAAGAAGTCTGCTCAGTTCCCGGAGAAGCCGCCGCGGCCTCGTGTCAGCGTGTGACTCTGGCCGCTGGCTTCCCTGAGTCACTGGTTGGCTTAAAAAATGTCTTTTAAATCACACACGCAACACGCAACACACAAACACACCTGCTGGTGAACGAATTTCACATGAGCTCCACGCTGGAGGGTTTGGCTCTGCGCAGCCCTGGCGAGGAAGCCTCACGAGTTTGTCTGTCTGTCCCAGGACGTGGGTTTGGTGTCACTGTCGCCTGTCGATGGCGCGTCTGTGGCTCCGGGTGGCTGGGGGACACAGGGTTCTCTGTGTCTGAGCGCAGGGTCCACAGCAGGCTGTGGCTTTGGGAAGACAGAGCAGAAAAACCTCTTTTCCAGGCTGTTTTAGGGGACCCCATAATATATTAAAATAACCCCAAGATACTAGGGAGTGGCAGCGAAGACAGAGAAGATTCCATTTGGCCAAACTCGTAACACGCGGCACCACCGCGACCGCTCTGAGCCCTGAGGGGCTCACGGACAGACAGACCGAGAGGCAGGAAGCCGTGGGGAGCCCTGTTCGGCCTTGCAGTGGCTCGAGGAGGCTGTCGTGGCACCCCCAGCGCTGCTGTTGCTGCTGCGGCGTTCCCCGGGCGAGGAGGAGCTCGCTGGCCGAGAGTGCTGGGATGGCGCCAGCGGGGTACCGCTGCTCTGCCCCCCACAGGGCGCTGGCCTGGCCTGAGCAGCGAAGGGTCGCGAGCGGCAGCATCTCCAGGTCAGAGGATGGGGTGCGGCAGTCAGACGTGGGGCGCTTGGCCGGACTGACTGGGAATCGATTAGGCATCATCCACCCCAGCGGCCCTGGCTTCCTGGCGGGATCGCTGGCTCGCCACCCTCCTGCGCGGTTCCTGCGGCGTCTGTGCTCGTGTTCAGAGCGGAGCCCTGAGCTGGCGTCTGGGAACAGCCCGGGGACAAGGCGTCCTGGGAGCGAGGTGGTCTCATTGGTCTGTCCAGTCCTTCTTTGTCCATTCATTGGACAGACATTTAGTAAGTGCCTGCTGTATGCCAGACCCTTTCTAGGTCCTGGGATAAGGCCACGAATGAGATAGACAAAGGCTGTAGGTTTGGTGACTGTGGAGTAAGTATGTTCCAGAGGGGAGGTGAGCAGACAAGTAAACATGTTCATGTTATTACATATCATATACTTGACTATATAACATGCCACGTGGTGCTCAATACTGTGCGAAAATAAACGAGAAGAAGGGGACATGGCGGGCAGGGGTGGGTATTGTGAGGAACGGGCAGGAGGTCTCTGAGGACTCGTGTTTGGGCAGAGACCCGGTGGAGCTGAGCAGGGAGTAGGTGGTTGTCTTCGGGGAGGCACATTCTTTGTGGGTGCAGCACGTGCAAAGGCCCTGGGGTGGGGAGCCCTGGCTTGTGGACTGGCGTGGGCAAAGGCGCGGGCGGTGTGCGGTGGGGCCACAGCAGTGGTGGAGATGGAAAGTCAGTGGCCGTGCGTGTCACGACCCCAGGGCACCGGCGTGAGGGGCTCCATCCCATGTCAGTGCCGAGGACTGGGCTTCTCCAGCCGCATCACAGAGCTTGTCCACGTTCTTTCGTTTCAGACTCGCAAGCAGCACAGCGAGGCCACCAATGAGAGCAACCGAGTCTTCCTGTACTGCGCCTTCCTGGACTTCAGGTACTGCTTGCGTGGCAGCCGCCAGGCAGGGGCAGGGCCGGGGAGGCCGTGGGGAGGATGGGAGGGGTGCGGTGCCGGCCGGGCAGCAGGTGTCCAGTGCCAGGCCCGCCACACGCCACCCAGGGGATCGGAGCCAACTGGCTGATCACCCTGCGTGCGTCAGGGCCTCCGACATGGGCTCTCCCTGTGCCTGGACCCCCAGGGCCGCTCCGCGCTGCTTCGGGGCAGAGCCCCCCAGCCGCACTGCCTGTGCGGGGCCCCACACCTCTGCTCTGCCCCCTCGCCAGGGAGGCCTCTCTGCGCCCTGCACGCCGAGACCAGGAGACTGCAGGACACTGACCGGGCGGCTGCGGGGGGCTTGATCCCCCTGCTCTCTGTCCTGTGAACAGTGGGGGAAGTGCCACGATGCCCCGCGACCCCAGCAAACCCCACTTCTCTCTGCTGTCCTGTGGCGGGGCCCGGCTCTGGCCGTGACCTCCAGCTCGAGCCTCAGGGGCGAGCACCGATGGCTCCGTGGCGTCAGCGACTCTGTCTCGGTCAGGACAGCAGGTCGCGGCTCTTTCCCCTTTATTGTGAAATCCGGAAGCACGTTCTCCCAGAAATAGTCTCCCCAACTTTGGGGCCCTGGTTAGAGAAAAGAGTTACGTCCAGAAAAGGGGAGGTTTCGTAAGATCCAAATCGGCACGTTGGTTTTTATTCGCGAAGTCACAACAACAGACGGCAGGATGAAGGATGACGTAACAAGGGCAGGCGCGGCTGCCCCAAACTTATGACTGTCGACATGTTTATATTTATTTATTTTAAGAATAAAATGACTGAGATGTCACAGGTGACGTCAGAGACCCTTCCTCCTTCTCTGCTTTTCCTCCGTCCCGAGGCAGCCGCTGTCATGGATTAGCGCGTGTGCTTCCCGCCCACTTCTCCACTCTCGTTTATTATCGTATAATCGATCTTCAGAAAAATCCACACTTTAAACAATTGCTCAGTTCTGTGAGTTTTGACAAATGGATACGGTTGTGCAACCACCGTAATCGAGACGTAGAACAATCCGTCACCCCCAGAGACACACATGTCCGCTTGTCATCCTGCCCCCCAACTCCAGCTCTGCAAACAGGGGCTCGTGTGCTGCCTTGGAAGAGGCTTCACTCACCCCAGGACCATGTCACATCCACTCATTTCAGCGCCGTCCATTTTCCAGCCACCCTGCAGTGGAAACGCGGCATTCTGCATCCATCGGACGGAGGTGCCGCGTGTGATGCGACAGCGTGTTTGCTGACTCCCCCAGATCCCGGAACGTTAGGCCCGAGGGGCGGGGGGCGAACGTGGCCCCGTCTTTAAGTCCCTCGTGTTCCGAGGTTATTAATGGGGTTTTGCTCTTCGAGTGGCTCTGGCCGTGCTCTGTGGTCTCTGCTAAATGCCTTCTGCCCCCAGGCAGAGAGCGGATCATTAATCACGAAAACCACCCGGAAGCTGCCGTCCCTGGGCGCCCGTCCGCATGCAGGCTCAGCGCCACCCGCGTCACCTCTGAGTGACCTTCCCCCAGCCCCAGGCTCCGCGTCACCCACCGTGGATGCTGGCGGGAGAGGCGCGAGATTGGGTCTGCAGGTCGCCCCCTCTGGGACGGCCACGTTTCTCACCCGCAGCGGCCACGCTGACGTCACAGTTAAAGCGGAACGGAAAGCAGAGAGAAACTGGAGCCTTTCGTTTCTCCACCTTCATAAGTGCTCCCCCCAGGGCCCTGCCCTTCTCGAAGCAGAGTTTGTCTTTGTGACAATTGCAAGTGGCCAAGTGTTGGGAGGAACCATTGAAGCATCTTTTCTTTTGTGAATTTGGAAATACAGAGAAGTACAGAGAAGGAAGTCATAAGCACCAACCTTCCCACCGTGAGGATGAGCTGCAGTTAATGCTGGAGTGTGTCTGTCTGGGTCTGCGCTTCCAGAAATTCTATAAGTAATAGATCGGTATGCGATTCATTGAAGAAGTCAAACGTCACAGGAAAGCAAAGGTCCCCTTTGACCTTTGCGTCCTGTCCCAATCTCCCCCCCGCTGGAGGTGACCACGGGGGGAGGTTTTGTGTGAGTCCCCGAGATGGGCACGTAAGTCACCGTAACATGGTTCAGTGACTCTCCCTGGACGTGGTTCCTCGTGTATACAGTCAGAGCTTCTCTCGGAGCAGGGCTGTGGGCGTGCGCGTTTCATTTCGTGCCGGGCACTGTCCGGGTGCTTTGCACGGTGTCCCGGGGGGCCTTGCGTCCTGGTGGCCCGACCAGCCCCAGACTCTCTCCAGCTCTCGCCAGCCCGACGGTGGGACCCCGGTCCCCGCGCCGTCCCGACGTGCGTTCCCGGCCCCGGCAGGCATGGCGCCGCTGCGAGCACGCAGGGCCCGTGTACACAGGGCGAGGGGGGCTGCTCCGGCCCCGGCCCCGGCCCAGGGTCCGTGTTGCTCCATGACTCGCTCCTGTGTCCGCAGCTCCGGCGAAGGCATCTGGTCGGACGAGGGCTGCGCGCGCGTCGGGGGGAACCTCACCTACTCCAGCTGCCGCTGCACTCACCTCACCAACTTCGCCATCCTCATGCAGGTGGTCCCGCTGCAGGTAAGTGCGGCCCCGGAGCGGGCGCCGTGGAGACACCCGGCTGCAGGTGGGGGGGTCTGTTCACAAACGGAACTTACAGTCTTGGCTCCCGTCGTGCAGGGTTCTGCATGTCTGGGCATAAGCAGGTACTCGACGAGTCCACGAGCGTATCGGCTGCGTGTGGCGTGGTCCTCGCCACGGGCGCCGTCACCGTGGCCGTCACAGACGAGGCTCGCTGGGGATCCTTTGAGGTCTCACCAGGGGGCAGAGCCGCCTCCTCTGGGTCCTCCATGCGCTGAAAACGGAAGACCAGCCCGGCTTCCTGCGCGGCCTGGGCGGGGAGCGGGTGGCCCACTCTCGGCAGGAAACCGCGTTTGTGGGTGTCGTGCTTGTGGTCGAGAGGAGGGGAGGTGGCGCAGTCCCGAAAGTCAGAAAAGCTGCAATCACAGAGCGTTTACGATGATGAATCTGTCGCCACTCAGCACAGGTGACGCTGGGTTCAGACAGCCTGTGGGTGTCGTCGTGGGAGAAATCACATCTATTCATTGCCAGAAAAGGTTGATTTGAAAATGGCTTAAAATTACCCATGCTAAAAATGAACATTCTTATGAACAATACAACAATTCAGGCTGATAGCATAAGTAGATACCAAACCCACGGCACGTTCAGAGAATTAACAAAGACACCCTGAGAGACCGTGTTTCTTGGCGCCGATCTCATGTCTTCCCTGGTGCGGGGCTGGTCCCCAGGTCCTGGGTCCAGGCTCACAGCTCACCTGCTTCTCGCCCCTCTTCTCCCTGAGACTCCCTCCTGGCCTCCCCCACACCGAGCTTCCCCTGGGTGGGCCCCTCGACAGCTGGGCCGGGGCTGGGAGTGGTGCTCCAGGGATGCTCTCTGGGGGAGGGTTAAAGAATTGAAAGGATGAGAAAATAAGATGACATAGAAAGTATAAAATAAGGCAAAAATTGCAACATTATTTATAGTAGAAATAACAGAATGATGGAGCATTAATAACCACAGCACTAATGACTGTGTAAATTCAAATACATCTATGCTAAGGAAGACGGTTCGTCTCTGCTAAAAGAGGGATGATTAAATCAAGAAATAACATGCAGCTATTAAAGCATGAATTACAATCGCGCCGGCGTACTTGGAAGGATTTCCAAGACACCATTATGTGAAAAGGGCAAGATGTAGAGCAGAGTGGGTAAATATCCCATTTTTATAAAACAAGGCCACAATCATATGTGTGTGCATGTGTTTCCATACATGTGTTCAAACACGCGAGGTTATATCTTTGGTATGTGACAATCAGACAGGCGTGGCGGTGCGTGCTGGGCTGCCAGCCGGGGCAGAACCAGGGAGACGGGTCTGCAGCCCCAGCCTGAGGGTTGGAGCCGTTCAGGCATCTGCGTGGTTGCAGGAAATGACGGCGTGAAGACGTGTTTCTCAGGCCGCTCCCAGGTGTGTTTTGAGGGCTCGTCTCGTCACGGCTCAGATGCCCGGGCTCTGAGAGCTTGTGGGCTGCAGGAAGGAGGGTGCGGATGGACGAGTCGGCTCTGCAGGGGAGGGGTTAGGGGCAGAGATGCGCTCTCTCTGGGAGCCACAGTGCCTCGTGCGTGCTGGGTCAGCCAACAACCTGCCTTACGCGGGCAGGCGGGAGCCAGGATTTCTGCCAACTCCGTGGACCCGCCGCAGGGGAGTGGCACCCACAGCAGATGCTGTGGCAGGTGGGGCCACGGCCTGGCCCAGCCAGGGCCCAGGAGGGGTTCAGGGGTGGCCTCCTGGCGTTTCTTGCCGTTGCAGCCGCAGGGGCTGGTGTGGAGAAGGCGCTCCCGTGAGAATCTAATGCCGCTGCGGCTCTGACAGCAGGCGGAGCTTACGCGGTGACGCGAGCGGTGGGGAGCGGCTGTAAACACAGATGAAGCTTCGCCCGCTCACCTGCTGCTCACCTCCCGCTGTGCGCCCGGCTCCTGACAGGCTGCAGACTGGTGCACCTGCGGGTCGGGGACCACAGCTCTAGGGGGTCCTTGGGAGTGGCCTGGGCGTGGGTGTCCGCGGGGTGGCCGGGACCTGGGGGTGCGGGAGCCCTGTGCGGGGGCAGGTGCACCTGGGAAGGACGCTCCCAGGGGGATGCAGGGAAGAAGCAGGTCAGTGAGACAGCCACAAACCGTGGTCCGAGGCTGACTCTGGCCGGCGGACAGGCTGCACTTAGCTCACAGAAGTTTAAACTAAAAAAAAAAAAAAACTTGGTTGTCAATATTTCAGAACCCAGCTATTTTATCTAAAAGTTTGGATTTCTGGTTCTGGAAAATATAGAGGAGACGTGGCCACTCTGAGCCTCCACCCCTGGCGGGGAAGCATGGCCTGTGGGAAGCGAGGCTGCCACCGTCCTGCCAGCCCCCGCAGCCCCCCGACACCGGCAGCTGCCCTTCCCCATGTGCTTGTGTTTCCCGTTCCTGTCGTGGTGGGAAATGAGGGAGGTCTGTTAAGAGCGTGGCAGCTAAGGGGTCTCTGCGGCAGAGCAGCCCCGTGTTTGCTGCGCGTGCAGCTCCCGGGCCTCGCGCTCCTGCCGGGGCCGCTCCGGTGCGTCTGAGTTTGTGGTCTCGGAGGAATCCGTGTCCTGAACAAGCTCCTGGCTGCTCTGGGCGTTTCTAAATCTGGCTGCGGTGGGAAAGGAAGGGCACGGCCGGGGCACACCACGCCTTGCCAACCTGCGGTCAGGCACTGCGGCCAGGTGGGGGGGTCCCGCCTTCACACCCCCACCCCCCAGCCAATCAGGGCCTGTCTCCACCCTGGACAGATGGTTCTAGAACTTGTGGTTAGTGGCCGCCCGGCCAGGTGCAGCCCTGACCACTGAGGCTGGCCCTGGCTCCAGGAGGGTTTGGGCGGGGGCGGCAGGGCCTGATCACGGTGCTGGGAGCCGCTGGGAGCCCTCTGAGCCGGCGTGGGCACGGCACGGGGACCACAGCAGGCGTGTGATGTCTAGCCGGTGCCGGCAGAGTGTGCGGCTCCCTCCACGGGGGTCTCTGCGTGGTGTCAGGGAGCCCCTCCTCTGGGCAGCTCTGCCTGCCGCTGGGGCCGGGGTCAGCGGGGTCCCCACCTCTCCAGACAGACACTGGGGTTCTCCCCTGATGTGCTGAGTGGCCTTGGGCAGGGCCTTCCCTGAGCCTCAGCCTCCCTGTCTGTACTGTGGGGGACCCTGTCCTTGTGGAGCTGTGAGGGGGTCAGAGGAGGGCGGAGAGGGCACCAGCCAGCCCTGAGCACCTAGCCTCAGTACCCAACCCTGAGCACCCAGCCTCAGCACCCAGCTCCAGCACCCAGCTGGAATACCCAGCCTCAGCACCAGCCCAAGCACCCAGCCTTGGCACC